GAGAGAGAGAGAGAGAGAGAGAGAGAGAGAGAGAGAGAGAGAGAGAGAGAGAGAGAGAGAGAGAGAGAGAGAGAGAGAGAGGAGCGATACAAGTTGTTGTGTGGTCCAAGGAAGGAAGTGGCGGCCATAGCCGCTGAGCTCGGACACGGAGTAAACGAAGGAGAAGGAAGACCTGGTGAAGAAGAAGGGAGAGACGAAGAATGAGAAGGAAGCCATAGCCGGGATGAAGGAAGAAAAAAGGAAGGAGGGAGAAGAAGAGTATAGGAGGTTGGTGAGAAAAGAAGGGGTCGGCAGCCATAGCCGAGTTGAGCGTTGACCAAGGTGTTGACCAGGAAGTCAACCGAGTTGACCGAAGCGTTGACTGGGGAGTTAACCGAGTTTTACCAGAGTGTTGGCTGAGGGGTTGAACGACGTTCCCCAAGCGTTGACCAAGGCGTTGACCGAAGTTGTTGACCAAGGCGTTGACCAAAGTTGTTGACCATGAAATTGACCAAGCTGGAGTCGGTATACTCTCGCCAAGCCTTCAGCCTATCCCCTCGCCCTATGGATGTGCACTCACCCCATGGTACTTGTCGAGCCTGTCTGTCTTTTCTTTCTGCATTGAGTCTCTTCTGTCCAGGTGATAGGAACTCTGTGTATGAGGTCGTAGAGCTGTGTTGACCAAACCCACACGGCCTGAGTAGGGCTAAAGGTTGTGTCTGACGACTGACTGAACCGGAGGACAAACCCTCCCAAGGACCGGTACAGACCGGCGGGCTGCTCGGTGTGGCATGGTAGGCCCAAAATCCGAGTTGTGGGCTGCACAACCAGATGTCTAAGTGTTGAGAGGACTTGCTGATCGTGTCGTCCTGTTTGCGACGTTAAACAATTCCTGAGGAGTTATGGGGGATCTCCTTAAATACCTCCTAATCAGCATAGAAGCCTTGTAGTGACAACTTAGTAATAGGTCTAGGCTAGAGACCCTAGTTGACAGGGTCCTGAACCGGAGAGAAAGCCAAGTGGGATTGACCGTACGTGCAGGGCATCTGGGTCTGGTTTGTAAAGGATAGTGGTGGCAAAAGCTTCCGTCGGCAGTGGTAACTTGGCTGGATCAAAGGGTAAGACTTTGTGGTCCTTATAGAGTCAGTCAGTCAGTTAAGTCAGTCAGGGGGTGGAAGTCTAAGTGGTGAGGAGTGGAGTTGTCACTCGGTTGTACATCTAACACCATGGTTGACCTGTGTAGCGGTAAGAGTACCACCCCGTACACTAAGGCTCAAGAAGAGCAAGCCGCCGCCGTCCTAAAAGAGAGAAAAGAGAAAGAGGCTAAGAAAGAGTTGATTAAGCAGGCCAAGAAGTTGGCCTTGATGGAGGAGCAGGCGACAAAGAAAAAAAAGTTGCAGGAGGAGATGGAGAAGCTGCAAAGAGAAGAAGAAGAAAAGTTAAGAAGATTTCAGAATGGGTTGCGAATCTGCCCCTGGGGAAGAAAAAGAAGTGATGCTATACGTCTCCAGGGCAGAACAGGAGGCGGTAATCCAGGAGTTAGAAGCAGAACAGGATCCCTTAAAACGTCAGACCATAGAGGAGGAAAAGAAGTTGGAGTGGAAGTTGCATCTGACCAGGGAGAAGAAGAAAAGAATGGAGGCGAGTAAGGCAGCAAAGGAGTTGGAGGTAGCGAAGGAGCAAAGGGCGCAGATGGAGGCACAGCCGGATTGGCAGGGAAAGATGGAGGTTATGGCCAGGAATATAGAACTCTTGGCAAGGGCCCATGAAGAACAGTATCAGTTTGCAAGGGGCCAAGACGTAGCCTTGCGATCCACACGGTTGGGATTTAAGGAATTCGCCTGCGAGATGATGATGCACGTGGGCTCAGAAATGAAGGCGAGGTTAGAGAATACAGAGCGATTTTGTACAGGCGCCATAGAAGGCGCCATGCTTGCTGCTCCAAGGGAGGAGGAAGTTCGTACCCGTAGAGAGCCAGTTACGGTGAAGTTTTCTGACTCCTACAGTGGAAAGGAGGAGGAGAACTTCGATAATTGGGAGGCAAACATGAACTCTTATGTTCACCTCTATAAGATAGCCCCTGAGGAACATGTCCTCATTGCCTTCCATGCCCTTAGAGACGAAGCAGCTAGCTTCGCCAGGTCACTTGCCCGGGCTGCTAAATGCGAGAATGATATGGTCGCATATTCCTTGATCACCACCTTAAATGATTTCTTTAAGTTATTGCGGGAGAAGTTCACAAACGTCACACGGGGTGTTAGAGCCTCTGACAAACTGCAAACCATCCATTCCCGCCAATGGAGGAGTGCTAGGGCACTCAAGAGTGTTATGGATGAGTTGATTGTTGTCCCTGGCCATGGGGTCACTGAGACCCAATTGGTCAACCAATTTTATCGTGTCATGCCCGAGCCTTTGCGCGGGCACTTCTTTGGAAAGAGTAGGGAGTATTTCATGACCTACGATACCCTGAGTAGGGAGGTGGTAGCTTTCGAAGCTCGGTCCATGCCAGTTTCCACTTTCTGGCATAAGGACCTTGATAAGGGAAAAAAGTGGAAGGGTCGTACCATCTCGGGTCAGGTTAAGGGTAAGGATCACCCGATTCT